TAATTTAATGACATTTTTGTTCATTTATAGCTGATATTTTAGATGAAATATATAAACAGAAGTTCAAGACCCCGTCACCGATTCAGGTAAATTAGTATTGATGGAATTCAATGAATTAGAGATTGCTGCAAGTATTTTAATTTATGACTGGAATATTCTAGTCGTTTCTAGTGCTTAATTTAGAATCAAATTTATGTTTTAATGCATATTCATGAGTAGAATGTTTATCATGAAACAGCGTGACTACGTGAATTCCTATATCGACAATGAGCTTGACAGTCAACGTAAAAACTAAATGATGTATATATATGTGTGATATACATGTTCTACTATAAAATTCTTTTTTTTTTCTTTTTGAAAAATTGACAACCAAAATTTCCCCATTTCTCATATGTGTAGATGTTCTAATAGAAGGTGCATCCTCTCTGTTGCATTGTACTACATGTATTTTAATAGAAGCCGCAGCTTCTAATACAAATTTGACAGTACATGTGACAATATTGGCTAAGATTGAAATATTGTTGTATTCAAGTATGTTTTTACATTGTCTTTGTCTTAAAGTGGTAAAGACCTGCCTTTTAAATCGAATTGTAATAATATAAATAATATGTTACTGATTTTACTGTACAAACTCGCTAAGATTGAGTTATTGTTACTGCAGTGTTCCAGCTTGTGTATACATTGTCTTTGTCTATTGTCTGCAGGCTCAAGGCTGGCCAGTGGCTCTACAAGGTCTGGATCTGATTGGTATAGCTCAGACTGGAACTGGTAAAACATTAGCATTCCTTCTACCAGCATTGATACACATTGATCTGCAACCTGTGTAAGTACCCAAATTGTGTCATACTGCTTATTTATTGTAAACTGCTAGAACATTGTTTTTTTTTTAAATTTAAGATGAGTTTTTCTGATTTTCTGACTTTCATCAATGAACAAATGTAATAAGCTGTGAACTGATTTAGTGACAAATCCTTGTTGGTTTTGCAAAAAACAGGATAAGGTGTATATAAAACCAAAGTTTAGGTGAAGAAAATTGCATGACGAAACTCATACTGTGGGTTTAAAACTGTAAACTATTGAGTGAGTGTTTCAGACTTACACCACGAAAAACCATAAAATATGAATATCAGTGTGCAGTTTTCATTGCCCCATGCATAACGCTGATTATAAATTAATTTACGCAAATACAAAAAGTCAATTGTAGACTGTCAGCTGCTTATGGATAATTCAGTGCTCATACCACGTGACACTGAAATGACTATTTTAATGTCTTCATTTGCCAAGAACTTGCATCAGAATCCACAATAGCTCAGTTGATGGAGGCTCTACCTGCTGTGGTTGATGTTATAGGTTAAACCCAGTTGTGGCCAACGTTTCTCTTCATCAACTCTGAATGTTACACCTTGACTAGAGCTGCACAGTCAATAGCAATTTTCAAGTTATGTAAAGTTATCTGCAGCAATTTAACTTGTGAATACAACTGTAGTGATTCATACTATGCGTTCCAATACATTAGTACAAGGGTAGTAGGTTTACAGTTAGCATGAGCAATAGGTCATGTGAGCAAAAGTGGTATCGACAAATTAGCATCACAAATATTGCTATCATGATAACTTCATATTATTGGAAAGCCATAGTTAACAACCTCAGATATAGTGCGTAATATAATCACTGCTACTACAATCCTTTGATTTGTGAATAAATATTTGTTTTTTCAGTCCTCGCTCAGAACGTGGTGGTCCTAATGTGCTGATATTGTCACCGACCAGAGAGCTTGCATTGCAGATAGAAATGGAATGTAATAAGTACCACTATAGGGGAATAAAGGGGTCAGTATAACATTCAATTTATAACATGTACCATTTATTATACATGTGCAATATTG